TGTCATTCTGTGTTATTTCCTTTCTTTCATAATTTAATAGTTCTCTTTTCTGTAATAGTTCTGCCATTTCTTTTTTTTTTTTTTTAATGTCATTCTTTCTTTTTCATGTCATCTATGTTGTATTAGTTTTCCAGTCTGTACAAGTTCTTTCATTCAGTCTGTCTTTCTGTCTGTCTGTCTGTCTGGTCTGTCTTTACTACTTCTCGTTTCTGTTTTAGTTCTGCCATTTTTCTTTGCATCTTTTCCTTTCTGGTGTTTCGTTCTGTCATCTGTTGTTTCATGCGTGTCTTTTTGTTCGCTGTGTGTGAATTTTGAAAAGATGAAGATTTCACAGCTGTACTTTCACCCCATAAAGCTCCTGTATCTCGGGTTAACGATTTAGCTCATGATGAAATCCACAGTAATTCTCTTCCATTTGTTCCTGTTGTGTTCATGAAAAATGATAAAGTCATTGAGCCAAGTGTTTTTCCTGAGGAATGAGCAAAAATCAAGTAATTGCGAGTTATTTAATGTCACACAACTGTGACACAACTGTGACTTAGTGCTTTTGCTTCCAGTAATCAAAACACAACATTATAGAAATACACAAGGAACATAACAAGGAATATAACCTGCCTAATATGCGAAAGCACAAAGTTACACTAAAAACTCGTAAAGGTGAGATACTAGCTTGCAATTGCAGGATAAAAGTTTGCAGTTGTGAGGTAAATCTGCATATTTTCTCAAACATGCCGGAAATAAGCATCCACATAAAAGAACCATAAAGTAGGATGTATTCGGAATTGTTTTTTTTTAAGCATGATGAGATTCATAAAGGGTCCCATTCAAAATACTTCACACATCCTTTTCCTAAAGTTGTATTATGATTTTAAAAGTTCTGAAAATTTTAAGTGGTTATGACTTTTCACCAAGGTTGGACATTATGGCAACAAATATTATATTACAATATTCAAATATATTTTCATGAAACATGGGGCATACTGCAGTGGGGTGTTTTTTTTTTTTTTTTTTGCTGAGGTTTTGTTAATAGTATGCAAAAACACAGCAGTAGAAATACATGACTGAAAACGAATATACACAACTTTTATTTCAACATTTACAAAACATGAAGTGAGTGTAAGAGCAAAAAAGGCTTTTGGAAGATCTTCCAGTGAGACTGTCCAAAAGAAAAAACACCTCGAGAAGCACCTTCAGGATCTTTTGTTGTGAAGGTTGTTGAGAGATGAATGCTTCTGAAAAAGAACCCGACGTTTATGAAAGTGAGGTCCAACAATGAAGAAAAGAATTCTGTATTTTTAAGTAATGACTATACTGATGATGCACTCAGAAAAGTGTATTGCGATGTAATTTATTGTATGTAATATCAATACCATATCATCACATCACCCAGTTCTCTAGGCTAACTCTTGTTTTTATTAATTAGGGATTTTTTTTATTAAAAAAAAAAGTTTTTAGAAAATATCGACTGACACATACTTGCTTGCCTTCTTGTGCTTCGGGGGCTTCCTCCACGTATTCCAGTTTCGTCCAGTCCAAAATAGACATTTTGATTACCAAATTGTCCATAGTGTATGAACACGTGGGATTGTGAACGCGTTTGATTGTGAACTCGTGGGATTGTGCCCTGGGATTGTTTTGGCACCCTGTCCATGGTGTCCCCCGCCTTGTGCCCCGAGTTCCCTGAGATAGGCTCCAGGCTGTACTGTGTAAGATAAATGGTATGGAAGATGGATGGATGGAAAAACCTGCTCGCCTCCAGTTAAAAGAAACGGCAATGTGCGGTCATTAAAAATGAGCGCAAGGTGCCATGAAATTGAACGAACACAAAGGTATTCCTGAGTGTGGAGCAGTGACGCAAGAGTGCAGAGAAACTGTTGCTCTTCATTTCCGTGAGCACCGAGCCGCGTGTTTCCTCATAAAACATCCTTAATCTGAAGTAAAACAAGTTGAATTCAATTTCAAATAAATGTTTTTTTTTGCGCTACCTTTTGATGACCGTTTAATAGACGATGATCATATTTGGGTTGCTTTTTTTATGATCTCTCGAATGAACAGTGTGAGTTGGGATCATATTTTACTCTGGCCGTATTGCCTGCTATCAGGTTGCAGCGGGAGACTGAGTTAACCGCCATTCTTTTGGAGGACAGAGTGATGCCTCCAGCCAGAATCCCTTCAGTAATCCCCGAATCTTACAGCAGATCATCGTACCGTGTCTTTGTGTAATTAACTTTGAGTCGGCGGATAAAGCGGCTCGGCACGGAGCCGACATAACAAGAACAAAACGGTACTGTTTGAACAAAACGTTTGCAATGTGCCTTGGCTAACACCTCTTTCTCTCTCTCTCTCTCTCTCTCTCTCTCTCTTTCATCCCTCTATGGATCACGCGGGGTGGCTGGATGGACAGAACTCCCAGCTGAGGAAGGTAAATATTGATCTTTCCATCCGGTTATTACTGCTCTCTCTTTATGAGTGGTGCTGTTTATGTGAGGCCAGCCCATCTATCTGTTTTACTACAAAAAGATGCACAATGTCTGAGGGCACACACACACACACACACACACACACACAACTCCTCACCCTCCTGCCCCCTACTCAACTTTATCTGTAAGACGTTTCTTCCTAAAAGCCTTTGTGTGTTTCGACACCGCGTGTTCTTCAGTGTTCTTCCAGAACATAGATTGTGTCTCGCCAAAAATCTGTCCAGATTACATTTTAACTTGAATAAAACATGCCAATATTTATGCTGGAAAAGTTCTCAGTAATATCACAATACGTTTCTGCAAAAAAAGAAGTATTTTAATTTGACACCGTGGGGTTCACCCAAATTATTTACACATGAGATAACAATAAGATTTTTATATTTATTTTTTGGTATGCACGGTTTTATATTCAATTAATTTCCGCTCAGAAATCCTGCACATCTGCTACAGTTAGAGCAAAGTGTGTTGAGTTGCATAATCTTATGTAAGTGATGAGAGAAGTCATGCCTGAGGTCTTCTCCAAGCAATTTCTTGGAGATGAAGGAATTCATAATGTTGTGTTTATATCATAGTTCAGATTGATTTTAGTTTTAAGCATGACTGGACACAAGAAATATATAGCAGCTAACAATAATCATCAACAACAACAGATCATTAGGAGCGAAGCCATTCTTTCACATGTTTCACTAGTGTACAAATTGAAAAACGCAGTAGATGTGTAAAATAATTGCAGGATACTGACCAAAACAAACAAAGGAAAAGCCGTGAGTGTTAAAAAAAAAAAAAAGAATGTATTTACATTCCCAAACCATGCACTGTATGTCAGGCAGAAAGAAATGTTACAACTAGTGCTGGAGTTAACATAGCCCTGTGCCCGAGTCGCGTTTGTGAGCGACACCTCAAACTCGCACATGCAAAGAAAGTGTCGAGTTTGTTGTTAATTCTGAGGGCTAAATGAGGACTTGCGTGAGTCGCAATTAGTCTCCGTCTTTCTGTCAACGTTTGTCTCTCCTCCTCTGTCGCCTCCGTGTGCCACAGTGTCACTACAGCGTCCCACTGATCCGTCTTCCATCTTAATATCTCATCAGCCCGTAATTCGTTTCTTATGCACGCTGTCGAGCTCGAAAGTGTCACTTCGCTGTCCGTTCAGTCCCAGTGCAGCCTGTTCTCTGACAGAGCTCCAAATAAAATGTTAGCAATATGTTTCTAAGCACAAGTGAAGTGGCATTAATGTGAAAGTGCATGGCTTTTCTGCAGGGAAGTCTCTCTGGGAGCTGGTGGTGGAGCAGTTCGAGGATCTCCTCGTCAGAATTCTGCTGCTCGCTGCCTGTGTGTCATTCGTAAGTCCTTTTCAGCGTCCTATTTATTCATGAAGTTTGTTTGTTTGCTGCGACATCTAGCGATCCGGTCAAGTTATATGCACACATTAAGCACAGTCCTCTCCAAAACCATTGGAACGGCAAGGCCATGTTTTGCTGCAGACGGAAGACGTTCGGGTTTGAAGTCAAATGATGAATACGAGAAGAGAGTTTCGAATTTCAGCTTGTATTTCCTGGAATTTATATGCAGATGGGTAAAACAACATAGAACGTAGCACATTTTGTATCAGACCACCCAATGTTTAGGTGAGCAATAATATTGGAACATGTGACTGACAGGTGTTTTAAAATAAAAAAATAGCTCTGAACATCTACCCTTGATTTTAGCCTTCAGTTTCACCTGCTGAAGACTGCAAATGTTGTTGTTAAAAAGGATAAGCCAACATGAAGATCAGAGAGCTGTCTATATGAGGGGAAAACAAGGCCATTTTGAAGCTGAGAAAAGAGGGAAAAATCAATCAGGCTTTGCACAAACATTAGGCAAAGCCGAAACAACAATTTGTGATGTCCTGAAAAATAAAGAAACCACTGGTGTACACCGGCGTCAACAGACGCCGAATTAGTCGGCCAAGGAAAACAACAAACAAATGAATTGACCTTGCCGTTCCAATAGTTTCTGAGGGGTCTGAACATATTTAAATTTTAAAGAAAGTTAACACGCATCATCAACAGTTCAAGAAACTTGATTGCTTATAAAATCAGAAGCTTCATAAACCATGTCCTGTGCATCATGTTACTATGCAGTGAACAATACATGAAGTCTGCAGTTCTTTCTTAATGATCTCAATTTCCTTTGTATTCTAGATTTAGCGTTGTCTTTTGCTATACATTACATTTTTCAAATGTATTTATTATATGCACGTTGCTTTGTTCACTATCTGATTTGTTTTAGACAATCATATGAACTGTGTAGCTGTCAACAACGAAAAAGGACAGGAAAATCAACTGTCTTGGAAATTAATAGTTAAAGCAAAAATTTCTTTCAGTCTATATTTAGACTGTTTACATGTTAGTGCAGCAGAAAACTGCTTTATATTTACGCCATTTGGCGGACATGCTTATCTGGAGCGACTTACATTTATCTTATTGCTACAACTTCGCACTGGGGGGGTTAAGTGCCTGGCTTGTGCAAGTGGCAGATTGGCAGTGCTGAGATTTGAACTTGCAACCCTCCAATTAGAAACCCAATGCCTTAACCATTGAGCCATCACTGCCTGCTGTACTTCATATAGCGCAGCCATATACAGTCTCCATGTCCAAAGCTTTTTTAATTTTTTTAGACTACACTGTTCGGAGAGAAAGTAAATGAATTGCTGCAGGAAATGTGCAAAATAATATATCTATGCATCATATTACACTACTTAATGCACTCCTCTAGATGATTTCCAAAACCGAGAGCACGCAGCATGGCATGGAAGCTCCTTATAGCTTAATGATGGCTGGAGGATGCACTGTCTGGGAGGTTTTTCCATCATATTTAACTCTCTGAGCTGGCATGCACTACTGAGCTGACTCTGATCTGGCAGAGTGGGGTAGCAATGTGCAACCTGCGGCTCTTTCGCACAATGCTTGTCACAACGGAACTCCTGCTACAGTGCAATGATTTTATATATATTTTATATATATACATTTGTTTCATTTTATAGATAAGGGCAGTTGAGGGTTAAGGGCTTTGCTCATTGGTCCAGCAGTGGCAGGTTGGTAGTGCTGAGATTTGAACTTGCTAGCTACCTTCCGATCAGGTCTTAAGCACTGAGCTAAGAAGGAGAGATATTTTCTTTTACTCCATAACATTTCCAGCTTTTATGTCCCCCGAGTCTAACAGAGATTCTGTCCAAGCTTTGGAGGACGGGTGCTGTAAAACCAGTACAGAAGTATAAAACCTAACACACCGAGTTTGGTGTTTAGACTAATTAACCAGTTGAGCTCTCTAGTGTCGTGACTAAAAGTTACAGTTTTGAAGTTCTGTCTCTATTCAGTAGTTCAGGACTAATTGGCTTTCCTGGGTCGCATGGTCAGTTTTACATGCTGTGTTAATAATTTTTGGTGCTCTACTGGCCTCCAACACGAATGCACTCTTTTCCAAAGCCTGGACTTGTTAAACCCAGAAGTGGGGTCTGTTTTTCTAATTCAGGTTTATGAATGTACCTTTTTATGATCTTTCCATCTGACTTGAGATCTGTATAAAAGAAAGTTGTCCTAATGTTCCTGGCATTATCGCGTTACGATGCACACGTGCACAGACATGCGCACCGACTGGTGTATGAGGCCTGGTCATGTCGCAGAAGGTTTTTGGTGCAGTTGTCTTAAACAGGAAACTTTGAAAGCATTACAGACCGCAAGACTCCCATCAATCTTTTTACTCTGCAATAAACATGTCCAATGCAAACGGCTCCGGGCCTCCCACAGAGCGCGTCTGAGTGTTTCATAAAAGCGCCTGTGTGTGTGCAGATATCGTGCATTTGCATGTTTTTCGTACGTGCGCACACAACGTGTTCTACAAAAGCATGCACGTGACGGAAAGAGTCCGAGGACTCTGGCCCACTCGCTGGACTCATTTGTGTGCCATTTTGAATATATTAAAATGTTTAGGATTCTGCTGGCCTGACGTTTTTGCATGTTGCAAGAACAACAGCCACTGGAAACTAGTTTATAAAAACGCCACCACAGTGTTATTATCTTCCCAGAAAATGCTTGTGGATGTGATGAGCCGCAGCAGCACGCTGTATACTGAGAACAGGAGCATTCTGTGTGTCTTAAAATTGTATTTGTTTGTTTTTTTCCCTTTCCCCCTGAGCATGTCGTTGTAATCCTGCATGTAGCTGTCCTTAACTCCTGGCTGATTATCTTTAGTCACCCAAATGATCCATCCATCCATCTTCAACCGCTTATTCCTGCTTCAGGGTCGCGGGGAACCTGGAGCCTATCCCAGGAAGCATCCGGCACAAGGCGGGGTACACCCTGGATGCCAGTCCATCGCAGGGCACAAAAACACTACGGACAATTTACCAAGCTGCCAATCAACCTACCATGCATGTCTTTGGAGACATGCACGGGGAGAACATGCAAACTCTGCACACACATGGCCCCGGCGGGAATCGAACCCCGGACCCTGGCGGTGTGAGGCGAACGTGCTAACCACTAAGCCACCGTGCGCCCTCCCCCAAATGATCCATTTAAGCTGAATCCGGGTTGATGCTATACGACTACTTTGAACACATATAGTATATTTATGTTTTTTTTTAAATTATTATTTATTTATTTTTTAAAGAGTTGACAAAGTACGTTGTAGGTAGAAATGCTTAATTTTAGCCAAAACCTTCTGACTGGTTTCCCCAAACGGCCACACATGATTATTTGTAGCTCTCAATCCGATTTCCATCAACGCAAATCTGAATTCAGTTCTCAGGTCTCATTCTATCCAGCTAGTCTTATTGGTCACATGTACATATGCACAGTGAAATTATTTTCTTCACATACCCCAGCATGTCAGGAAGCTGGGGTCAGAGCGCAGGGTCAGCCATTATATGGGGTGCCTGGAGCAGAGAGGGTTAAGGGCCTTGCTCAAGGGCCCCACAGTGACAGCTTGTAGTGCTGGGGCTTGAACCTCTGACCTTCTGATCAGTAACCCAGAGCCTTAATCACTAAACCTCCAGTGCCCTAATATAATAGTAAGTAATTAAACCTAACACCAGTGAAAGGGTAGGTGATACCACACCACAGCATCGCATTTAAGGTAAAACAGCGTATTCAGGTTTGCACTGAGCCGAGCATGTCGTAGAATTTAAGGTCACCTGAACAATAGATTTACTTCCTGCATTTGAAAGGCAAAGTGGTGGCTTGGATGATGTGGAGCTTTTTTCCACCGGATTGGAAATCTGGCCGGAGGTGTGTAAGGCTTTCTCTTGTGCGAGCGCACCAGGTCTTTACGAGGAAGCTGCATAGTGCATGTAGTAGAGCTTTTAACACAGTGCATAGAGCAACTTTTAGTGAGTAAAAATAGAATACATTCTACTATGTATTGTAAATGCATAACCTTCAGGGATGTTTTGACTAGTACTGTATGCATTCTGAATAGCAGTTTGCCATTATGTCACACTATAAACCGAAATTTCCTCCCCCACCCACTCTACAATTACGTTTTCATTAGGGTAGAAGCTTTAATATAATAATATCTGTAAAATTTTTGCTCAGTCAACAGCTCTTCCAGGTCAAAAGCGTTTTGAAACGACACTTCCTGTCAGTGGCATTGCACATATTTGGGCGAAATAATATACAGGAACCAATGAGGGTAAAACTACACATGGTTGATTTTGTGTTTTTAACTTTACAGCACATGCTCTATATGTTCACCCTTATGCTCTGCGTGTTTTCTCAGCACCTGTATTATGTTTTGCGGATTTTGCTTAAAATGCTCGGATTGACGATGTTTTTGCTCAACGTTTTCCCACTGGTTCCAGACTTGTGGAAATAATGTACAGAAATATTAAATGCACTGCAAAAGTTTAATGTGAGTGCCGGTTATGTCTGACACATTAGCATGTTTTTAATGTAGGTTTTGCCATTGCCACTACCGTATTTGTAGCTGTCTCATGAGTTTTGTTTAAACGTATGCGTAATCAGAAATTTCTGACACTGACACAACTTTGACATCAGTTATCTTTGGTCACAGTAGCACTTAACTGGTGGTGAGCACCTCATATTATTTGTCATAAGACCTGACCAAAGAATTTGTACTGTTTTATGACTCTTGGCTGCGACAGCAAATCCGGGTCGAAAGTCGCACAGAGTAAAGCCAGCTTTAAAGGGAAACACCCAACGTTTTCTTGTATTTGAGAATAGTGAAAATCGTAGCCTTTTTATTTGAAAAGCAGTTGGTCCTTATTTAAAAGTCCATTTAAAAGTCAAATCCAATAATCCAACTTTAGGCCTTTGTCTCAAGAATGATTTTGACGTTTTTTCTTGTTTGTTTGTTCTTTTTTGGTCAAATTGTTTGGATTATGAATTTAAAGTAACTTTTTTATAAAGTTATAAACTTCAGTCTCGCCTTTAAGTTTTTGGGGATTTTTTTTTTGTATTGATCACACGGTCACAAAGCGGTGACGAACTATGCAGACCGGTCAAAATTGATCGGAGCGCGCCCACCGTGTCGTGGTGGTGTAGGTGGGCTAATGTGGCGCGTCCTCCCATCAAAAAAATACCTACTTCTAAAAGTAATAATTTAAAGTAGTTTCTGTTAACGTTACTTTGATCTAATATGGGTAAGGTCAGCGAGATCTGGCTCAAGAACAGTGCATTTAGTGCTTGGGTGAAGCCTGTTGAAAATAACAAATTTGGAGCCCGCAGCATGTTGTTCAAGAAAATGCTCAAATTCTGAACTTCTGTATGTTTTTCTAAGTCAGAAATACATAAAGCCAATATTAAAAGCCACCAGAAAAATCCTGCCATCACCCAATATACATCTATCACCCAGTATCCATATCAGGAGCATCACCAAAGCCCAGACCCAATGTGACCGTCTCTGCACTCACAGTGTTAACTCTTGCAATTCGGTGAGCGACCTCCGGACAGCGCTTGGAGCTAAGTCGTGAAATAAGTCTTAAATTGCATTCATAATGGTCTTCAAAAGACCTTAGAAAGCCTTAAATTTCACTTGTTGAAACCTGTAGAAGTTCTGTGTTCAGCCGTAACACTTAAGGTCTTGGCATGAAGCAGACATGAATGAAAATCTTAACAAAGATGTTCTACTGAGTTATCCAACTTTCCAACACTGGAACAGTAACTCCAGTTATTTATGCTTTCCCGCAGGTTTTCTGGTATCCATGTGCGTTGGTAACACAAACACACATTCTTCTCTCTGAAAAAATAAAGTTCCATTTCTGAGAGAACAAATTATGTTTATAACATCATTCGCAACAAATACTTTGAACCGAAAGAATCGACTAAGCATTTTACAAAACTGTATTCTAAATAATGGCTGTTATTGATGGACTTTAAAACCCCCTTTAAAATGCCTTCATAAGTTAGTTTTGCTTAAACAAGTGTTTTTCTGTTATCAGTCATTCTGTGATGATGGCGCACACACTGCAAATGTGGTCGAGAGGAAAAAGGTAGGAGAAGTCATACTGTCTGTGGCTTAGTTTGTAGGGAGAACAAAAGTGTGCCTAGACCTTTACCCCTGAGAATCAGGGCTGTGGCGGTAATGTGCAAAATAA